CCCGGTGTCCCCCCCTGTCCCCGCTGCCCCCCCTGTCCCCGGTGTCCCCCCTGTCCCCGGTGTCCCCCCTGTCCCCGCTGTCCCCCCGGTCCCGCCCGGCCGTGAGGGGGCGCGCGCGCTCGCCGCTCCCCCATTGGCGCAGCGCGGCCGCAGCGCCCCCGCCCCGCGCTGTGCGGCTCCTCACGTCCTCACCGCCCCGCCCCGCGCTCGACGGGCACCGCGCGCAGCCAATCAGCGCCCGCCCGGTGCGCGCCTCACCCAATGGCCGCTGGGGGCGGGGCGCCGGCAGCCAATGGCTGCGTGCGATTGGCGGAAAGCGCCTGAGCGACGGGAGCGCTCCCCGCTGCCCCGCCCGTCGCTGGGCGGGCCACCGCTCCGCGCCACCGGCCAATCAGAGCCCGCGTTCGCCTTGTTATTCGGCGAGCGGCCTCGCCACTGGCTGGACCCGCCGTCCGTCCCCGGCGGAGCGGCCAATGGGCGCAAAGGCGGTGCCGCTCGCGACCAATGGGCGCGGCGGGGAGGCGGGCGCAGGTGGTGGCCGCGGGGCGCTGCGCTCGCCTGGGTGCCCCCCCTTCGCTGCGCCCCCCGCGCCGCCGAGGGCCCCGCGCGCAGGTACGGCCGGACCGCGCCCCCAACCCCGGCCCCGGCCCGGCCCGAGCGGGCCCCGCCGCCCCCGCGCCCGGCACCCCGCGCTGCGCCCCCCTCGGGGCGCCGGGCCCGTTCCCACCGCCGCTCCCGGCCCGAGCCCCGTCCCCGCCGCTCCCGGCGCGGCCCCGGCGCTGCCGCTCCCTTCCGGCCCCGCGGCCGCAGCCTCTGCGCGGCCGCTCCCACAGGCCGGGCCGGGCCGGGCCCCGCCGCGCTTTGTGTGGGTGGGACCCCCGAGCCCCCCGGGCCGCTCGGGGTGCGCGGGGCGAGGGCGGCCCCGGGTCCCTGGTGCCCCGCAGCCCCCGGGGATTCACCGGCACCGCGGGGATTTGGGCCACAAGCGTGGGCAAATGGCGATCCCGGGGCTCGGCTCGGGGCCGTGGGTTGGGGGCGAGCAGAAGCTGCCGCTGGCTCCGCGATTCGGTGCGGGCGCTCCGTGCTGGGAAAAGCGGGGGCAGGAGCGTGACACCGGCGTGGGGTTTGACTGTTTCACCTCTGCTTTCCTCCTCCGGAGACTGCCCAAGTCTGGGGACAAACCGAAGCTCTTTTCTTCCGGTTTTCTTTAAATCCTTGCGTTACTTGTCCGTGTGTGCGGTGCTGTCGGCATGAGCGGGACCCCCGGCGGGGCCGGGAGCTGCAGGGTTTGTGTGTCCAGGCACACTTTGGTGACTTCCCCGGGTTCCAGCTGCTCCTGTTCGCAGAAACGTGGAAGATGGATGGGATGTGGTGGAAGGGGAACTCTTCAGAGGGGCTGCAGAGGGGCAGGGGCTGAGCTCTGCTCTGGGACAGCAGCCCAGGAAGGGCTAGAGCTGTGCCAGGGCTTGGGATGGAGCTCAGGGAAAGGTTTTTCCCCCGAGGGTGCTGGCACTGAATTCCCCCAGGAATGGTCCCGGCCCTGCCAGAGCTGCAGGAGCTCCCAGGGATGCTCAGGGTGGGATTGCTGGGGGTCTGTGCAGGGCCGGGAGCTGCACTGGATCAGCCCTGGGTCCCTCCCAGTTCAGGACATTCTGTGATTCATCCCAAGCTGGCTCTTGGCTTTCCTGGAGCTCTTGGTTTTGGAGCTGTTTGGGAGCCAGGGGTGTTGCAGAAAGGCTGCTGTGGACCCCCTTGCCCTGAGGAGTGAAAGCAGTGAGGTTCATTTTCACCTGGGCTCCCTCTGTGTTTGGCTGAAGCTGCTGCAGGGGCTGTGCTGCTGCTCTGGGACATCAGATTTTTGTTCTGTAACTCCTTTGGGCTGGGCCAGTGTAAATCTGTGTTACAGCAAGCTTGACCCTCCCAAAACAGTTTCCTTTAAGAAAAAGAGTTAATTTTAAAGAACTCTGTCCGTCTGAAACCTGATAGCATTTCACCCACAACATTGCTTCTTTCCTGGGAATTTTTGCTTTTTTCTCCTCAGTTTCCTGTTCCTGTTTCATTGAAATTCACAGGCAGGGAAGCCTTAAGCCTAGAATTGCAAACTCACAGTTACATTTCAGCAATTGCATCAGGTAACTGTTGGAGCTCTTGGTAATTGCTCTGTGACAGCAAGTTCCCAATTCTTGGGTTTCCCTGTAACAAGAGAAGGAAGTTGGGGCAGGTTGTCCAACTCCTGCAGGGGCTGAAGGAATCCTAAAGGAATCCTAAAGGAATCCTAAAGGAATCCCAAAGGAATCCTAAAGGAATCCACGGCTGTTCCTGTCTCATGAGAGGCAGGAGTTCCTCCCATGCAAAGGAGATGTAGGTGGATATAAAGTGATTCCTTGTTCCAGAGCTGATATTCATGGATGAAACATTCTCTGGAGCATCTTTTGACAGGAAAATTCTGTCTAACACTCCGTGGTGGATTGTTCTTTCTCCTTTTTATTCTGATTGGAAAGAGATAATTCCCTTAACTGGTCCAGTGGGACCAGAATATATATGGTCTTATATATAAACATTATGTATAAAATATGTAACATATATATATATATATATATATATATATATATATATATATATATAAAAGGACATAAATATATATATGTATATATATAAGATGTATAGGAGTCAGAACACTTTGGTAAAGACCCAAAGCACACAGGTCTCATGTTCCAAGTTTGCCTTTAGGATGAATGTGGGCTGTTATAAATAAAACCTCACACACATGAGAGGTTTCACCAGCTTTTGATGGGAAGTCAACAGCAAAATTCACTTTCAGGGAGAGTCCCAGGCATTTCCTGTAGAGAATCCTGGCTGTTGGCCCATGGGAAATGTTCACCTGTTACCCTGAGCTGTGGGGACAGTGCTGCTCTCACCTCAACTCCTGTCATGCACCAGAGGAAGGTTTAGCAGATAAAGTGAGAGTTCCACAGCTCTGCAGGTGTTTTGGATCACCCAAAATACAGACAGCTCGAGCTATTTCCATATAAAAGGTCGCAAGAAATCTGATGTGAGTTGGGAAAACCAGTTTGGCCAGCCCTGCTGGAAAGGCATGGGAGCTCTGTGTGCACTTTACATTTATGCAGGGTTATGTTTTATTTCCTCCTGGGATGTCCAGCTGCACTACAGCAAACAATGTCAGCATCAGGAGGCTCTGATTCACCTTGCGAGTGTAAATCTCATTTTTGAGAGCAGGGAATCCACCTGAGAGCAGAAATAATCATTGTGAGCTGCAGGCTGAGCCACCCAGGCAGCAGGGAGGGAAAGCTCTTGGCAGTCAGGAGAAACTTGGTGTTCCTTAATTAATTCTGGGCAGTCAGGAGGACTCGGGACTGGTGATTTTCCCTGTTCCTGACTCATTCAGTGCTCGGGGTGTGCTGTGGGGAAGGGTTTGCAGTGCCTGTGCTGCTCCACGTTCCTTCACTGGAGCATCTGTTAATAGCAAAGATGGATGACAGCTAAATATGTCACCACAAGTGAGGGATTTGCTTAATGGGTTTGGATGCCACCGGGATCCTCCGGGGCTGCACAAGGCGCTGCTGGAAATAATTATTTGTCATCTGGTAGAGAATTCAAGAGGGTTTGTCCGTTTGCAGGAGCAGCTGAAATCTTGGAGTACTGCAAAATGTTGGCAGAAATCCTGTCATTTCACCCTGGCTGGGGGATGTTAATGTCTTATCTCTGTGGGATGAGAAAGGTGATTTTCCTTTTTCAGTGTTCTCCACTAAACTGATCGTGGCTTAATAAGATTTCCTCTTTTTAACCTTTGTTCTGGACCAAATATGTTCTGTCTTGTCACAACTTGGGGATAAAGTAATTTGCTACCATGGCTTAATTAAGGTACTTATTTTCATTTATATTTTCATTGGGTAAATCACTCTCCTTTATAAATGAAGCAGTTCCTCAGTTGTGTCCTTAATGGATTCCACAGGAGAACACATTTGTATTCTGCCCTTCCTTGGGCTGTGCGTGCCTCAATCATGGCAGAAGTGACCAGAAGCTTCATTATTTTTATATTTCTTTGCTGTTTCATAAGGTTCATGAACAAGCCACAGTTCCCAGATCCTTTGAGATTACAAGAGTGTCCTTTAGTTCCCAAATCTGTTAGAAACCCTGCTTTTGAATATGGCCCAAGAAGTGAACGTTGGAAGTTGGTGGGGGTTAAGGTGATTTCTGAGGTTTTCTGACATTCCTTCACAATTCTGGATACACCCCCAGGGCAGTGGAGAGGCCTTTGGTGAGGTTTTGGTGCAGATAAGAAGTTTTTGTGAAGTTTCCCATGTTTGATCTCGGTTCAGTTGGCAGGAGAAGCTGCTTTGCCTGGGAGGGTGTGTCAGGTTTGGAGCTGCAGCTTCCAGAGGGACCTGGATGAAACAGAGCTGGGAGAGATTCAAATTGTCTCGTTTCTCCTTGAAGCTTTGGGTTTAATTTAGGATTTAGATTGTGACTGCTCGAGCTGCAGGTTTGGCTGAGAGGTGTGGAATGGGTGTGAGCTGAGAGAGGTCTGGGGGGGCTGAGGCTCTGGGGGTACCTGGCCAGGTGAGCTGGGGCTCTAGGGGTACCTGGCCAGGTGAGTTGGGGCTCTGGGGGTACCTGGCCAGGTGAGTTGGGGCTCTGGGGGTACCTGGCCAGGTGAGTTGGGGCTCTGGGGGTACCTGGCCAGGTGAGCTGGGGCTCAGGGCTGCGGGGCCATGCCAGGCTCACCCTGCCCCTGCTCCACAGGATTCCCGGGATGTGCTGGCAGCTGGAACTGGGTCAGTGTGTCACACCCAGCCCGGGCACACACCCAGCCCAGGGCTTCCTTTCCCAAGGGCCTCAGCCAGCCCCAGCCACTGAGATTTTTGTTATAAAAATCTAAAGGAGCTTAGAGAAGTCAAACAAATTACTGAGAACTCCAGGCTTTTCATTCTGGCAGGGCTGTGGAAGGAAAACTGGGAATTAGTCCTTATTAAAGTGTTAATCTGAAGTAGGAATCACCTTTTGGGCAGGTGAGCTGGTGGTTGAGGTTCCTGGTTGAGGTTCCTGGTTGCTTTGCAAGGTTTCTGATGCCATTTCCCATAATACAAGAGACTGTGGGGTGCTTATTTGAACATTTTTGGTGCTGCTGCCTTGGATTGAGGTGCCATGGGTTAAAACTTGGAATGTTTGTTTAGATTCAATGGCTCAGCCCACATGAGGTGCCTTTTTTAATGCTTCTTTCTCAAGTTGTTTTTGAAACACTCCTGAAGCCTTGCAGTAAATCCAGTGAAGATAATAAAATGCAGCAGAGGGAACTCGTGCATGCAGCAAACTCCTGCAGCCCTTGGCCAGGCTGGGCCTCAGCACTGCTTTGAGAATGGATTTGTGAGGTTGAGTTTATCTTGTCTGTTCAGTCAAACTTGAGTTTTTGAGGGTCTGATCTGGATTTAGTCAGAAATACCCATTACATGTTAACTACCTTGCCTCAGGCAATTATAAACTGTTTTAAAGTCATCCAGATTTATTGCTCTTAAATGTAACCACTTTTTCTTTTAAATACTGTTTGTGACTAAATAATTTTGTTGTTAGAGAAATGTGTGAGCAACTGTGCACTTCTACAGCAAAGAGGGTGTTTTGAGGGAAAATTTTATTTTCCCTTAATGAGCTACATATGCTGCTTGATTTTGAGTACAGGGGGATCTGGAATTGCGGAGGAGCCTTGTGGAGTGTAAAATTTAATAGAAAATAACTCTCAGTTTGTCAAATCCCAGGCACTGTAGATCTCCATCCCTGCGCTGGATGGGATTGTTGTCTCTGTTCCTCCTTCCCAAATATTTCCTCTGTTATGTTTACTTAGCCTTTATGGAGAATATACAAAACTCAAAGCAATTTGAATGTTAAAAATGTAATGAATATATAAATGTTTTGGGGGGAAAGGTGTTAGTTTAAATCCTTGCTGTAATTGTACAGTTGTTTAAAACTGGGCTGAGCAGCAGCAAACTTCAAAGTTTACACTTTGTCTAAATGTTGGAATCTGATTCTTGGGAAGGAAGGAAAGTTGTCTCAGATATCCTTACACCACATAACCATTACAGTTGGAATATATATAGCTTTTAGTAGTCTGTTTTATACACAGACCTGATGTCTTGTGGGAGTTTGTCTTTGGTTCTGCTAAGAAACCTTGGATGGAGCCTGATCCGTGAGAACTGATGGAAATCAGAGTCATTTGTTGGCTTAGTGAGAAAGGAAGTAGATGGAAATAGAAGAATCTGCCCTCTGTGTTCCAGCCTAATTCATCAAAAAATGCCATTTCAGATAAACACACGAGTTTTCCATGAGTGTTTGTGCCTTAGGAGTAAAACAATGAGTTAAGAGCAGGTTTGAGGGATGTGCTCTGGTCCAGGTCACCCCTGGCTCCAGCAGAGGAGAAGGAGCAGCCCTTGGCTCTGCCCAGAGCAGTGCTGGGCCAGCAGTGGGAACTGCTTGGGAACCCCAAACCTTTCCTGCAGGAAGGATTCCCAGTCCTGCCAGGGCTGGAACGGGCTCCAGGCATTCATCTCAGCTGGGGGCTTGGACTTTCTCTCTGCTGTACAAAGGTTTCAGTCAGCAGGTGCAGGATTTCAGTCACAAAAGTGTTTTGGTTCACATCAGTTTTGGAAGGGAAAAGTCTCATGTAAAAGTCACTGAAATTAAAACTCAGTTCTTTGTGTGCACCGGGATCGTCCCTCTGGAGACAAGTTTGAGTGCTTCCTCACAATGGCTGAAAAGTAGAAGGTTTTCATAATATTTCAGGTTGTTACTCTCTTACAAAGAAACAGAATGTATCCAGCTGAGAAAAATACCTTCACTCTTCTTTTCAGGAGCTAATGGGGGCTCTGCCTGCAGAATCCTCCTCCTCAGCATTGAGAGAAGGGTTTGTTCCCATCTCGTCCTCACCCGCACACTGCCGGGGCTGGAAGGGGCTCTCGGTGTTCTCAGAGCAGTCGGATTCTGCTCTGGAACCTTCCCCTGGTGCTGGGAGCTCGTTAGGGCACGGTTTAATTGAGGCCATCTCCTGAAAACCCCGGATGGAGCTGCAGGCCTGTCCTGCTGCCTTGGCTGAGTGTCCTGTGTGATCCCAGGAGCTGGGACAGAGCTGGCCACGAGCCCGGGGACAGAGCCCGGGGACAGAGGTGGCCGTGAGCCCTGGGACAGAGCCCTGGGACAGAGCCCTGGGACAGAGGTGGCTGTGAGCCCTGGGACAGAGCCCTGGGACAGAGGTGGCCGTGAGCCCGGGGACAGAGGTGGCTGTGAGCCCTGGAGGTGACCCTGACTCCTGGCACTGCTTTCCCAAAGCACATTGGTGCTGCCACGTGGGGAGCACTTGGCAAAGAAATCCTTTTCTCCCCGAGCTTTTCCTGTGGCCTGGGTGTTCCCAGCTCTTGGGGCCAGTGGGGGAAGCTGCCACATCTCACTCAGGTCCTGGACCTGATTCCCCCTTCCCACCAGCTCTGTGGCTGTTTAATTGTAATAGCTTAATTTGTTTGATTAGCTAAATGTACATTATCTGGGGTAGGTGTTGAAATGTTCTGTAGATGGAACTGCACATGGAAAAATCTTGTGCTTTGCTGTCTCTGGACTAAAGAAATTCAGAGTGCCAGGTGATGCTGATTGTATTGAGGCAGTAGACCTTTTAATTAATTAATTAAGCTTTGGAGGAAGTAGTTTTATCCTTTAATTAATTGATTAAGCTATGCATGAAGTAGTTTTTGATCTCCCTTACTGGAGTGTGTATTTTCACTCTTTGCTGAGTTTATTGACTGAAAATTGGAATTTTTTGAGAGAATCTTGAGGCAAAGATGGGATGAAGCTTGGCTTTGACTGTTTGTTTTTCCCCCTGGTTGTGGGTAAAGCTGCAAATGCTGGGCAGGCTCTGTGGAGCAGATGGTGCTGGCAGGGCTCCTCCTCAGGACGGAATTCAGGCTCCTCTCCCGAGCCAGCTCCTTCCCGGATCCTGCAGGGCTCCCCTCGACCCTGGCATTTCCAGACCCCGCTCACAAATAGCTCCAGGATTCCCAGGAAGGCTGTGGCAGACTCTGGGATGCTTTCTGTCCCTGTCCCACTTTCCTTTCCCTGCGGCTCAGCCCGGTTTTCCTGGGATCAGGTACGGAGCAAACCTCGGGCAGATGGATCCCCAGCTCATCCCAGGGCTTCCCTCCTTGTGTTCCTGCAAAACATTTGTGTAGGAAAGAGTTCCCACGGGCAGGGATCAACCTGCTGCTTCTCCTCGAGTGCTGACCCTGAAACAGCAATTTTTGTTCTCAAAAGGCAATTTTTGTTCCTTGCTTGGCAAGGTTGGGGATCTCCTTGGGCAGGGCCACCCTGAGGATGGAGGGCTTGCTTAAACGGCCCTTTTGTTTCCAAACTGCAGCAATTTCTCTTGGAAATTGGAAGTATCTTGGGGTGAAAGGGGTGAAATGGTATTTTTCTCCCTCAATTGGTTTTGCTCTGGGATTTCCTGCAGTACTGGGATTCATAATTTGATTTTATTCTGCATCTCTGGCTTCTGGCTTGGGAAGGGCTTTTCTGACTGTGAAAGGCTGTGATTTTATGCATAAAATTCCTTTAAAGACTCCTTGGGGAAGGATATAAGGCTTGCAGATCCTTGTTTTGAAACAAATTTGCATAAAAGTTAGTGTGTAAAATTCTAATGTTTTCTGGTTTCTTAAATTTCACTCAAAACTGTTCATGTGCCTTTGAAATGGGAAGTTTCACCCAGTTAAAATGAAACCTTGGAGCCCTGGGTGTGGAATCTGTCCACTGGAGTGTGTGCTGCTGGTTTTATTTCCAGGAGCTGGGAGCGCTGGCTGTCCCTGGGGCGAGTTCTGTGCCACGCTCACCCCTTCCAGCACAGATCCAGGAGTGCTCCCTGCTTTAGTTTGTGTTTTCCTAACGCTGCCAGCGCTTCCAGGAGCATCTGCAGTTCTTCTTGGCTGCTTTGAGATCAGTTTAAATGCACAAATGCTTTTCTTGGATGTAAAAGTCTCGCTGGAGCCGTTTCCTGCAGCTCCAGCCTCCCGCAGCCCAGCACTGCCATCTGCAGCTGAAACTCCACTAAAACCTTTTATTGCCCTTACAGATTTCCAGCATTACCTTAAAAAAGCCCATTTAAAAAATTGTGATTTCATCCTGAATAGTTGGAGAATTTGTTCTGGATGTTTTGGAATTGTGCATCTGTATTTCTTGTAAGACTTGCCTGACACTTTGTTTTATTTATGTACATTGCAAATACAAAAACATAATGAAGCTACATTAAAAAAACCCCTTAATTTTATAATTTTTAATGTAGTCTAGCACATGAAAAAAAAAAACCCAAACTGGGTAAAGCTGTTGGGTTTGAACTTAAGCAGAAAATGGAGCATTCTGGTGGAAAACTTGCAGGGTGGCAGGTTGTACACAGTGACAATGCTGAAGGTGGTGAGAAGTTGTTATTTTTGTGACACCATCCTGATGAGGCACCACTTTCTATGGTGACCTGGGGGGAGATGTTAAGCCCGTGCTCTATATTTAGCCCCTGTCTGAGCTCTCGGGTGATCCTGGTGTCAGGAGTTCCTGACTAAGTGGATTTTTGGTTGGAAGCTCCTCATATCCATGTTAGAGGGTAGTTCCTACAAACAAAAATGAAAAATCTCTCCAGGCTCTCTGTGGAACTCATTAGAGCTGGGAGTTAAAGCCAGGATTTTAACCAGTATCTTTTTCTGCCCCTTTCCTTGCTGTGTCCCCTCTCAGGACTGGAACTATGGGGTCGGAAAACCCGAGCCCGCAGAACCCTGGCTGCAAGATCATGACCTTCCGTCCCTCCCTGGAGGAGTTCCGCGACTTCGGGAGGTTCATCGCCTACATGGAGTCCCAGGGAGCCCACCGGGCTGGGCTGGCCAAGGTGGGGCTGGGCAGGGTGAGGGGCTGGGCAGGGTGAGGGGCTGGGCAGGGTGAGGGGCTGGGCAGGGTGAGGGGCTGGGCAGGGTGAGGGGCTGGGCAGGGTGAGGGGCTGGGCAGGGTGAGGGGCTGGGCAGGGTGAGGGGCTGGGCAGGGTGAGGGGCTGGGCAGGGTGAGGGGCTGGGCAGGGTGAGGGGCTGGGCAGGGTGAGGGGCTGGGCAGGGTGAGGGGCTGGGCAGGGTGAGGGGCTGGGCAGGGTGAGGGGCTGGGCAGGGTGAGGGGCTGGGCAGGGTGAGGGGCTGGGCAGGGTGAGGGGATGGACAGGGAGAGGGGATGGACAGGGTGAGGGGCTGCTGGCGGGGTGGAGCTGCCTTCTGAGCCCTTTGTGTTCAGGAGCTGAGCACGGTGTGCTTTGGGAAACCGTGCCTGGAATCTCTGGTTTGGTTATGGAGAGAGGGAAGGAGAGGAGCTGCAGAGCTTTTGTAGAGCCATGGAATGTCCTGAGTTGGGAGGGACCCAGGGATGATCCAGTGCAGCTCCTGGGCCTGCACAGACACCCCAACAATCCCACCCTGGGCATCCCTGGGAGCTCCTGCAGCTCTGGCAGGGCCGGGACCATTCCCTGGGGAGCCTGGGCAGTGCCAGCACCCTCTGGTCATGAGAACTTCTCATGTGAAGCTTCTGGATTCCAGTACCTGACACAGAACTGCTTGGAGAACTCCAGGACTAAGTGATTAGAAAGGGTGTTTCTGTGGCCGTGTCACCACAGGCTGATGAGATCATTTGTTCTGACAGGGACTTGTTAGGAGTGGTATTTAGCTGGCCTTAATAAAGCACAGTGGAGGAATAAAGCTGTTAGGCATGAAATAATTCTTATTTCTTCTAAAACATAGGTCAATTACTGGGTTTATTGCTGCTCTAAAGAGAGCTGGCTATTGATGAAGAGCTCTCCGTGGAATGTTTCCTTGTCCACTCAAGTGTACAAGCAATTACCTTCCAGGACTCTGCTAGGGAGATTATTTTAATAAAGCTTGTTGGTGACTTCCAGATGTCGTAAAGAAATTACTTTAGTTGTAGGTGTAACTCGAGCATTCCAGGTCAGCTCTGTGTCCCCTGCAGCTGCAGTTCAGGGCCCTGGAAGGGAAGGGGAGCCCATCCTGCACACCAAACCCCACAGCTCCAGTGTGTAACAGTTCATAGCTGCTGTTCTCCCCCGTTGCAGGTGATCCCCCCCAAGGAGTGGAAGCCGCGGCGGACGTACGATGACATCGATGACATGGTGATCCCAGCTCCCATCCAGCAGGTGGTCACGGGCCAGTCGGGGCTCTTCACCCAGTACAACATCCAGAAGAAGCCCATGACCGTGGGCGAGTACCGGCGCCTGGCCAACAGCGAGAAGTGCGTGCCTGGGGGGCTTCCAGCTGGGGAGGGGCTCCTGGGGAGCTTTTCCTTCCAGAAACTCGCTCACTAGGAGATGCAGCCATGTGAAATGTGAAGCATTTTGGGGGAAACTGCTTCTCCTTGAGTCTCAAACAAGTTTGTAGCTTGGTGGGTTTTGGTGCATCTCAGATCTTTTTCTGGGAGTTGGTGTAGAGCTTGCTCGAGGTCAGTATTTGGCTGAGAATGTTCCTGAAAAGAATGGCTTGGGACCAAAAAAGGATCTCTTGGCTGTTCTGGAACAGGTGTTCCATGGCTGGGGTAGAAACCCAAACACCTTGGAGTGCTTGGGGTGATGCTGGTGACACGAGTGTCTTTCAGAGGGCCTGGGGACTCTGCGGGGCACTTGGGTCCGCTGGGCTGTGCCACCTGCAGTTCCATCCTGTTTCCAGAGTCTGGAGTTTCCCAGAGTTCTGGAGGACCCTGGGTTTTTATCAGTACTGAGTTTATGCAGTCCTGGCTTCAAGCTGAAGGAGGGTGGATTTAGATGGGATATTGGGAAGGAATTCCTCCCTGTGAGTGGGACAGGTCCTGGCACAGGTGCCCAGAGCAGCTGGGGCTGCCCCTGGATCCCCAGCACTGACCCAGGCCAGGCTGGATGGGGCTGGGAGCAGCCTGGGACAGTGGCAGTGTCCCTGCCATGGCTGGGGTGGCACTGGGTGGGCTTTAAGGTCCATTCCAACCCAAACCATTCCAGGATAATCAGCTTTGGAGCTTTTCTGGCCCCTGAGAGCTGCAGCTGCCCCCAGCTCCCTGTGGGATGGGGACGTGGTGCAGCACAGCCTGTAAGCAGCCTGCCCCGAGAGGGTTTGTGCAGAGCTGGAGAAGGCAGCAGGTTCTGTGAGCTGAAGGTGAAGTGCACCTTCTGTTGTCAGGACTCCTGACGTGTCCCTGTGTTCCCTGGCAGGTACTGCACCCCTCGCCACCAGGACTTTGAGGACCTGGAGCGCAAGTACTGGAAGAACCTCACCTTTGTGTCTCCCATTTATGGGGCTGACATCAGTGGCTCCCTGTATGATGCAGTAAGTGCAGTGCTTCTCCTTCATTCGTATCAGACATGGACACTGACCTCCTTATTGCACTTTTCTCATTAAGGAGCACTAATTCACAATTTCACTGATGTAGCCACCCTAAAAAAAACCCAATACCTTTGCTTTTTCCCCTCCTTACAAAAGTGGGACTAAACTTCCCCTGAGATTCAGGACAGTAGTCAGTGGAAGCTGTGAAAAGCTGGCTTTTAGTAGAAGAATGAGGAAAAGTGTGATTTAAACAAATTCTTATGCAGAATTCTTATTCTGTGGCAAAAAAATGTCTATACCTTGGGTTTTATTTCTTTTTTAAGGGAATAAAATGGAGGTTTCTGCTGAAGCTCCTTAGAAAGCCAGAAAAAATGAGCATTTCAAGGAAATGGTGCTTCATCAAAAATAGTTTTGATTCTTAACATATATAAATTATTTGCATTTGGATTTTAAATTATTTGCATTTGGGTTTTTTCTCTGTAGGCAGCTCCATTAGGATACAATGCACCTGCACACTGAATTATTTTACAATTCAAATTGTTTAAGCTTTTCCATGGTGAAATTTTCCAGGTGAAATTTCATCCTCTGCTTCAAGTAATTCTGTAATGATAAAGGTTTCTCTGTTCTTACTCTTTTTAGCCAGATAACTTACATCTCTTCCTCTGTAGTTTTCTTTTGAGTGGAAGGTGGCCTTTTTTGGAGTACTGTCTGATTATGTGTGAATGTAGAGTGTCTTTTTATTATCAGTATGGTTTAATATGGGATTAATTGGAATAAGCAGAGATATGAGGTGCTGAGAGCCGTGGACATGGCAGGGGTGCAGAGGATTTGGTGCTTGGCTGGGAGTGTCACATCCTTTCCCTGCTGGTCAGGGTGGGACACGGCCAGGCACAGACACAGCTGTTCTCCAGATGTTCTCCCTGTTCCTCCCTGGAGCACTGAGCTGAGGTAGAAGGTTCTGCCCCTTTGGCCACACTGAGGTGTTTGTGGTCAGGGGAAGAACATCTGAGAGGAGTGTGTTTTACTCTGAGTTTATGCTCTGTTCCTTACCAGAATAGTTAATCAGTGCTGGGGTGTTGCAAGAGCCTCTTCAGAGTTCTGGAGCTCCCTCCTGCCTGTGGTCAGAGAGGATCAAATAAACCTTCCTGGGAGCTGAGGGTGTCCAGTCAGTGAGGGAACTCTTATCTGCACCCTGAGGCACTGGGAGGGAGCTGACTGCTCCTGACATTGCCAGTACAAACCATTTCTGGATTCCAGGACGTGGATGAGTGGAACATTGGCAATTTGAACACCCTCCTGGACATGGTGGAACACGAGTGTGGCATCATCATCGAGGGTGTGAACACTCCCTACCTCTACTTCGGCATGTGGAAGACAACTTTTGCTTGGCATACAGAGGACATGGATCTCTACAGCATCAACTATTTGCATTTTGGGGAGCCCAAATCCTGGTAAGTGAGGGCTCTTGGGCACCACTAAAATATCCTTTCCCCAGCTCTACCAAATTCCATCAGGTTTACCTAATCTCTCAATTCCCATTTTTCCTCTCCTCTTCCCTCCTACTCTACATTTAAAAGCAATTTCACTTTCTTTCATGCTGGCTTGCTCAGAGGCCTAATTCCTGACTTTCAGCAGGATTAGGGAGACTTGTTGACATCACAATTAAAACCAGATTTCAACACTTGGGGATTTTTGCAAACTAATGCACAGGAGAGCAAATGGGGATGGGAATGTGTGGATGCTTGAGAGGCACTGTAATAGTGAAACACTGTTGTTCTTGCACTGTGCTCTAGGCAGGAAACATCTGTTACTTTCAGATTTCCATGATTTAAATACATAAATACGTTCACAGCTCCAGGGACAAGTTCAGTGAAAAGGTTACTTTTCCATGGTCATTTTCTGGCGTGATGGTAAAGCATTTTTCAACTCCGTTGATGCATAGACTGGCTGGAAGTAACTCTCCACAAAAGCAGTAGATAGTTAAAGATGAAATAAAGAATGTAGGAAGTCTGGAATGAATTACCAAGAGCCAATATGCTTCTTTTTTAAGCAATTTAAAAGCATAAGTGCAGAGACTCGGCAACCCAGGGGAGCTTTGCCGAGGATTTTGATGTGACTAATAAATATTGACATTTGCGTGCAAATTAGAGCAGAAATGTCACAGGGAGGCTCTGCTGTCACCGTGCCCTGGCAGTGGCAGACGGGATCCTCCCACCTCCCAGGGCTGTGGCTCCCTGGGGACTCCGAGGGGCTCCGGTGCTGGTGCCTGTGGCACATAAAAGCCCCCAGGAGCCGGGAGGCTGTAAATGGATGGCTCCAGTGCTCTTTTCCAGTCCTGGAAAGGGGTGGAGGGAGGGGCTGCCTGTGGAACATGAATGGGAATTTTGAAAACCTTTCCAACATGTCATGAAATCTGTTTCCCAACATTCCTGATCCTTGGGCTCACTGTCTGAGGCAGATGCACGAGGATTCTCTTGTGATACCTCTGTAAAATAAGGTTGAGCTTCAGAAATGTATTTCTGGCTTGACTGGGATGTGACTGATCTTCCCCCAGAGAGTGCTGGGGCACTGACCAGGGAATGCTCACAGCCCCAAGGCTGCCAGGAGCGTTTGGACACTGCTCTGGGACAGGGTGGGGTTGTTGGGGTGTCCTGAGCTGATGATCCTGTGTATTTGCAGCTCAGAGTATTCCATGGTTCAGTTTGGATCCTGTCAGTTTTTCCTCCAGAATCCCTTCATTCCAACCCATTTTCCTGGTCCCATGTCCAGCAGATGGTGCCACAGCCCGCGGGAAGCTCCTCATCCCCTTTGCTCAGAGAGCTCAGGGACCCCAGCACAGTCCAGCAGGACTGGGATGCTCCAGGAGGGGTGGGAGCAGCTGGCCTGAGGTTTGGGTGGGGTTGTGCCATCCTTTCTCCAGCCATCCTGTGTTGTGAGAGTCACTCGTTCTCTAAGGCTGCCCAGCTGGGGGAAGATGAGGGTTTTGAAGACAGGCCATGTTTGGAGCAGAAGCCTGTCCCTTTCAGTGGAGGTTCCATAGGTAGGTGGCAGTGTGTGACACAGAATGGGATGGGCTGTGACAGGATGCCACTGCTGCTTTGGCAGCGCCTCCCTGCTCTTCCCTTGAGCCTCAGGCAGGAGTTTGCCACTTCCCAAGCCACTCCTTCCTGGTTCTGCACTGGGGCAGCTCCTCTTAAGGAGTTCTCAGGCTCTCCTCTGAACAAGCCTTGGCTGCAGACAGTAAATGTGAATCCTCTGGAGCAGGTCTGGAACTCTGCAGGTACCTGAGCTGTTCTGGGAGTGACTGCAGGCAGCGCAGAGCTCAGCTGGGGGAGCTCTTGGACTGCACTGCTGCAATTCCAGTGCTGCAGCCTGGCTTTGCTCAGGGATGCCTGAAATGTTCACTCTGCTTTGCTGGCACCACCTCTGTGGAAATTTCCCAGCTTCCTTCATCCTTTTTATAGACTCCGTGGCTCTGACAGTGATCATCTTGGAAGCACCTCAGGGAATAGCAGGAGTGTGGAGAGTTACAAAGTCTACCAGTTTGGGGTTGAGCTCTAAAATAAGAGGCAGAGTTATTGTTTGGCTGTCAGAGATATTTATTCAGTGGAACCAAGGACTCTGTATATTGGTAGTATCTGCTTCAAAATTGCCTGTTAAAAACCGTAACTCTTTCTTTGTGTCTCCCATAAATTATCTTGGGATGCTTCTCTCCAGGCTGTGGGAGGGGAGAAAGGAGCTGCTTCCCTCACAAAGCTCATTGATTGGGTTTTAGGAAAAATCTGTGTTTATTTCACAGAATCCCAGCATTAGTTGGGTTGGGAGGGACCTCTGGGGACTCCCCAGTCCAAGGTGGGGTCACCTGGAGCAGGTGACTCAGGAAGGTGTCCTGGTGGGTTTGGGATGTCTCCAGAGAGGGAAACTCCATGGGCAGCTGTCCCAGAGCTCTGCCAGCCTCCATGGAAAGAAATTCTTCCTCAGGTTGGGGTGGGACACCATCCTCTGACAGCCCCTGGGGATGTTGGTGTGGATTGGTGGGATCCTCTCTCAGTTTTCCCTGAGGCCCTGGGCTGGCCTCACCCCATTCCAGGGGGATTTTCCCTCTGGCTGTGCTGTTCCCAGGCACAAGCTCTGCTCCTCACCCTGTTCTCACTCCGTGGCTGTTCCCAGCTGCAAGATCAGTCTGACAGGTTGAGGAGGAAGCCTGGGAGCTGTGGGCACGTCCCATGCAGCACCCTGGAATTGGGAGCAGTTGTGTAACCTCGTGTGAGGCCCCTCAGGCAGGGAGCTGCCACATCCAGCCTTGCACTTGCTTTTTTTCTCAAATTACAGTAAAATGTCCCTCTCGCGTTAGGAATTTAATTGCCACCTTTTCATAGTCTCAAACTTCTGAAAAAACCAAAATGTATTTAATTCTGCAGCCCCATATTAAACCTCTCATGGTAGGAATTTTTGCTGTATCAATTATACATATTATGTATAATTACCTCATACACTCCTGTGTGAGATCTAAAATTGAGCATATTGTCAAACGGTGCAAGCAGAAACTGATTTTATAATGACAGAAGCAACAAAGCTGAGTGCCAGGCCTCATTCTTCATGGTTATTATGGCATTTTATTGAGGGATGGATGTGGCTCAGCCTTTGAAATTCCAAAGGAATATTTTTAGATGCTGAGGTGCTCCTCCAGCATTTCCTTTTGTCTCCATAAAGATGTGCAATCCCTACCTGGAGGCTTCCTGGGGTGGGGCAGTGCTGCAGGAAACCTTGAGCCTCAGTATTGTGAATTTACCAATACACTTTAGGAGTGTAACATCTTTTTTTGTCAAATGACTTGACTGGGTAATAAAGTTATTTGGTGATAAAGTTATTTTCCTTGGATATTTTGTGAGCGATCTTGCTGTACAGTAACAGTATTCAATTTACCCTCTCTGAGTGCTGCTGGGATGTTACACTCTTCCTTCTCTCAGAAACCGCAGGTGTTAAACCAGACTGACACTGAGGAAGGTAATTGATTTTTATAAAATGTCCCTTTTCCCTTATCGTGATGGATGTTTAATCCCCTTTAATTAAAAGAGGGAGCCAGCTTTAGCTTTTAAGTTATATCATCTCCTCTCCAAAACACTCCCTCGCTGGAAGTGGATCATGCCTAATCTGTTTGACTTTGATATCACAAAGTACACTTTATGCCAGAACAGCAGTTTATGTGGAATTAAGGACAAATTACCAAAGGAACTTTAAAATAATATGATTAGTTGGAAGCACTGGTCACAGATACAATTCCATTCTAGAAACACTTCTGGAATTCTGTCTTGTGGAAGTCTGAGGACTGCCAACCTGAGAGTCCATGGAGTTACCCCAAACCTTTGTTGGTTAAAATATTTTCGAATTTCTGCTTTCTTCCCTCCAGGTGCCCCAGTGAGGCTCCCTGGGTGGGGCAGGCAAGGAGGGCAAATCCTCCTTGTGGCTGTCCCTGCAGCCCTGGCGTGTCCAAGGCCAGGCTGGGACAGGGGGTGTCCCTGCCCATGGCAGGGGTGCCACTGGCTGGGATTTAAGGTCCCTTCCAAGCTCGTGGCTTTCTTGTCACATTTGCAGTTTTGCAGTAGCTGGTGGTGCTGCTGTCAGCAGGGACAGCTCACCTTTCCTGGCAGGCCTGCGAGGGGGAGATTGAAGCCAAGGAGCTCCCTTGGGAGGGCATCCCCAAAGGATCCTCTCTGGCCTTGGCCAAGAGCTCCTCCTGGAGCAGCAGCACATCTGAAGTGCTGAGGATCCTCACTCTTGTCTGCAGGAACTGCAGCTTTCTTTGCTCAACTCTTGTCCTCTCCTCCCCTCAGGACAGGAGACGTTAATCCCTGGAAAACTGCCTTGGAGGGGGAAATGACCTAATACAGTCACGGAGCTTAACTCTCCCAGCTTCTCTGCTCATTTTCCGTGCAGGATGCTGCCCCTCTCCGCCTCTCCCCGTGAGATTCTGCTCTGTCCCCCTGCTTTAACACCCCCCAGATGTTGTAACCCCACTGCAGGCAGCTGCTTTGGTGTTTGGTACAGAACTGTGTGGCTGCACCAACCCTTCATCATTTATTGCCTCCTGCTATTCCCTCCTCTCAGGGGTCACTGCAGGGATCAGATGGCACTGCAAGTGTTGGTTTTTGGGGTCTCAGTAGCCCTGGCACCCTGGAGATCCTGAGATTCCTTAGGCTGCATTAGCTGGAATCTCAGCTGAGATTTGCCCTTGAGGGAGCTGATGCTCCACACTGAGAATTTTAATTTTTCTGAGTTTTGCTTTTCCTGTTTCTTGGTGTTAGGGAATTCAGGAGAAGATTCTGCAGCCTTTCCTCTCTCAATCCCCAGGGTCTGCATCATCTTCCATGGGAAGTGTGTGAGGTGTCCTTGCTCCTGAAAGTGTTCCAGGCCTGGCAGCAGAGGTTTGGAGGCTTTTTGGGTGGAGTGG